GCCGGTGATCCTCCTGGAGCTGGTGCTGCCGGTGATCCTCCTGGAGCTGGTGCTGCCGGTGATCCTTCTGGACCTGGTGCAGGTGATTTTTCTTCTGGACCTGCTGCAGGTGATTTTTCTTCCGGACCTGGTGCAGGTGGTTTTTCTTCTGGAGCTGGTGCAGGTGGTTTTTCTTCTGGACCTGGTGGTGGTGGTGCTGGTGCTGGTGGTGGTGCTGGTGCTGGTGGTGGTGGTGCAGGTGCTGGTGGCGGCGGTGCTGGTGCTGGTGGTGGTGGTGTTGGCCCTAGTTTTCTTTCTCCCGGCTCACCCGGTTCCACTGGTTGTTCCAGTTCAATCTTCTCACGAATCAGGGCCTCCGGGTCACGCTTTCCTTTCTTAGGCAAAAGTCGTTCCGGATGTCGGCTCATCTTCTCCAGCAAGCGTTGCATTGCCAAATTGCCGAGGCGCAGCTTCGCTTTGTGTTCCGTGATGATGTCCGGTTTATCGCCAGCATCCCAGCGGGTGTGCAGGAAAATTTGCAAATTGGTCAGTTCGTTCTGGAAGAACGCGGCTATGATAGCGGACACAATGCCGGCGGTGAAGATCGGGAAGAGAAACATCACCGCAATCCAAGCCATCACTGCCCACTTCGCGTCGTAACTCATCTCACCAACCTCATGCAGGAACACCTTCATCCGGCGTTTCGTCTGAACCATCAGTCGTCCCACTTTTACCAGCCGACCAGTGACCTTGAGAAATACGTGAGTGATATTGTCGATTGTATCTGAGCGTACCTCCTCGATATCCAGAAAAAGTTTTCGATCCATCAACCATCGCGCCTCCCTTTCCGCTGCTTCATCTTTTTTTTTCTCTGCTTCCTCAGGACTTGTTTCTGTTTTTTCTTTCTCGGTTTCGTTCGCTTTCGTGCTCGCTGCCTTGCCCTGCGGTAGACCGATTTGGAATAAAACAAGTGCGACAAATATGAAGGTGACAGTTATAGAACATCTCAGGTTGCCTGCAACGCTCA